ACCACCCCGAGTGGCTTCTGTTTCTCCCGCCTGGGCAGTTAAAGTCGATGTTCCCTGACTCGGTCTTTTCTGTCTCCTATCCTAAGTACTCCCAGATTGAGCCCAGCTATGCTGGTCATGATCTGACTCTTATTTTGTCCTCTTTCCTGAGCTCTAGTCTCCAATTTCAAACTTCTTGCGGCTGGTTCCGCCTCTGGGCCCTGCAGACATCTTCTACTTATCAAATGGAACTGAATTGTGTTTCTGCATGTCTACTTTTTTATGTTGGCGAATGACATTTTCTTTCTGGAATGCCTCACGCCCTTGCTTTTCTGCCTGGGAAATCACTATCGATCTTTTAAGTCCTTCTTAAATGTCACCATCTCTCTGCTGCCTCTGAGTCATCAGGACGAAGTAGCCACACTCTCCTCTGTTCCCGTGGCATGGGGACCCTCCTGCCATCGTCGGCCCTTAGGGGCCTGCCATCATTTGTCCGCCTTCCTTTTTTTTTGAGACAGAGTCTTGCTCTGTCACCCAGGCTGGAGTGCAGTGGCCCGATCTCGGCTCCCTGCAACCTCTGCCTTCCGGGCTCAAGTGATTCTCCTGCCTCAGCCTTCCGAGTAGCTGGGATTACAGGTGTGCACCACCATGCCCAGCTAATTTTTAAATTTTTAGTAGAGACTGGGTTTCATCATGTTGGCCGGGCTGGTCTCAAACTCCTGACCTCAGGTTATCTGCCCGCTTCGGCCTTCCAAAGTGCTGGGATTACCGTCGTGAGCCACCGTGCCTGGCCTGTCTGCCTGTCTTATTCTAGAGCAAGGGCAGGCTTGCTTTGATGGAATACACACGCAGACTGGGAGCTAGCTTTGTGTTCGCTAGCTTACTAGCACTCCAGACATGCTTGTGGATGAATCCATGAGCAGTCAAAGCAAACTCTTTCCTGACTGGCAGGAAAACAGTCACTGTGAAGCACAGTGTGCCCCACCTGGGGAGGCAGAGCAGAGATGGCTTCTCATCCCAATGGCAGGAGCTTCTGCAGGAAGCAGGAACAGAGCACTCCTGCAGAGGCCACTCACTGTAAGAACAGGCAGAGCAGGGTATGTTGTTTGTATCTGACCTCAAGGAAGAACTACAGAGAATGAATGCTGTGCTCCAAAACTTGGCGGTCGAAATTATTTGCTTCAGCTATGATAAAAAGTTTGCCTGCAGCTGGTCAGTGCCCTGCTGTCTTCACCTCTGAAACATCCCAGGAGCACTCGAAACTGGTTCTGTTCTGGGAGATTACTCAAGACAGTGTCTCCCTAAGCCTGGGAAAACACGAGGGCTCAATTAAGTGAAACACTGATAGATAAGTTAAGTATGTAAAGGAAAAACTAAGAGCTTTATGTCAATGATTAAGTATTTCTGTTTCTTTAAAGCTTGCCCCCGTATTATGCAAATACATTACAGCTAAATGTTGGCTACGTAACATTGTTAGAGGATGTGGTTAATGGCAAAACAAATCCCCAAAGAAAAAAAGTTGAAAAGCTGATTCATCTTAAAAATATTTCAGATGACTTAAAATATTTAAGGTTCATTTTGGACTTTTTGACAAGTAAAGACCGAAATATGAGCAAATAAAACCATTAAGGCTCTTTCGGTATGGAATGACAAAAAGTGAAAAAGGGTAAGACCACCAGGTTGTTAAAATCATGAAAAGCTTAGATTGGGCAAAGGTTCAGTCTGGCGGCCACAATGAAGGAATATTCCCGAAGACAAGAAGGGAGTCAGTGTCAGGGCCAATAAAAAATGCTTAGATGTGTTGAGTAAAATAATGTTTTATAGAGTGCATTACTATAAATACATATAAGAAGGCCAAATAGGGGATTCCAAGTTATGTCTGGGTGGCATTACTGAATTTTGTGAGAAGAGACAGAATACTGTGCTGGGTGAACCATCACTTCTATAGCTTGCATGGCATTTCTCAAGTGTGAATGCAGTTCCCTCAAGTTCCTGGGGTGTCGCAGAAAGATGCATATGTTTTGAAATATATTAGGAGATTGAAAAGCTCCTGATGAGTGGTCATTTTTATAAGCATAGAACCTCGTTTTAAATCTGAAGCGCTTTCAGCATGGATGGGTGAGAAGCATGGGATTAAGTAGGGACCTCTGTCCTAGTATTATTTTCTCTGTTGAATTCATCCTTACCAGATGCTCAACTCTTTATGTGCACACATCTGCCTTTTAGGAAGGATCTCCAGGAATCCTGTGGGGAGAGGCTAGTGCTGGGGGAAGACAGAGGAATGCCTGGAGAGGACAGAAGTGAGGCAGGTCCAGGCAGAGGGGGTTGCAGGAAGAAGATGCAGTGGCCGGTGTGAAGGAGAGCTAGCCACAAGAGCAGAAGCCACCACCCACTGACAGTCGCTCTGGGCCAGGCTTCTGTTCTGTGGGTAGGCTGTTTATTTCAGGGGCTGATACTTTTTAGACTCAGTTTTTTTTCTTTCTTTCCTTCTGATTGGAAGAAGTTTAATTCCATGTTCATTTCCAATTCTTGCATTCAAGCTTATAATTTATCATTAAAAAACAACGACCACAACGAATTAGGCAAGGCATATGGAAGGGACTCCAGGCAGACATTGCAGCAGGGCAGCGTAGGGCAGGGGAGGGACACCACATTTGGCGAGGCCTTCTGTGTGCCCAGCGGCATGTGGCCACCTGCCAGTGTGCATCGCGTGCAGCAACTGTGTCAAGTGCACTCCTGCATGAACCTATCAGATGCTGGAAAATCTTGTCAAGTAGAACTTTCTCTATCCCCATTCTATAGATGAATGAACACAGCTAGGAGGAGTCGAGTAACTTGTTCACGGTCACAAAACTGAGACGGGCCGAGCTGGCCGTCACCTGTGTGTTATCTAGTGCACTCAGGCTAGAAAAGGCATTCTAATTAATTAGGACCTGCGGACTAATCTCAAATCTCTAATTCATAGTGAAATCCCTGGTGAAATTTAGAAGGAGATGGGACATAGGCTTTGAAGGAACATTGGCTCAACCGCCTTCAGGAAGGTCAGTCTACGTAAGGCAGTTGAAGAATATGCTATGAACCATACACCAGTCCAACAAAGGGCCATGGTGTGATTGTGAGGGGATGCTGGCTCCGGCCTCAGCAGCTCAGTCTGGGCTTGGCTTTGTGGCTGGGTGTGCTCTGTGATCAGGGAAGTCTGCAGCCAAGAAATCCTCTGGGCCTTTCTAGACATCTCAGCATCCTTTTAGACAGATGGGGCACTGGCTTTGTTTTATGCTAAACATTTACTTTTATTGCTTTCACTGATAGCACAGGGCTTCTCCTATTTTATCTTGGCTGTTCTAAGAATGTCTGGAATGGTCAGTAGAATTCATTTATTCAAATAATGTGTATGCGTGTCCTCTGTGTGCCAAGCACTGGGTTAGAGTCAAATGTGAGCAGTGGGTATTCCAGATCAGCACTGTCTTGTAGACCACCTATGATGATAGAAAAGCTCTGTATCTGCACTGTCCCATACAGTAGTAACTAGCCGCGTGCAGCTAGGATGACCAAGGGGCTGAACTTTAACAAACTTTAATGAATATAAATGTAAATCGCCACACGTGTCCAGGGGCTACCCTACTGGACAGCACAGGCCTGGATTAATCTTGGGTTGTATTTTGAAAAGTTGCAAACTCAAAAAATGTTACATATACTGGAAACATAATGTATAATTGTTAAAATTTTAGTAAAATTATATATTATACACTGATATGTGGTTGTAATAAAGGTAAATAGAATTTCTATGTATTGATTTATTCAGACATTTAGGTGGTGTCTTCTATGTGACAGGCACTGTGCTAGATTCTGTGAGAATGCAAAAATGATTTGTAAGACAGTTCATGTTTTTAAGAAGAAGCTCACAGCTTTGTAGATAAGTGTCTACACTCACACATGTACACTTACACACCCACGCATATGAATACCAGGTGAACAACTGCCTAATGCCCTTAGGTAAGTATGCTTCACAACCATCAGATCACTGACAGTAGTCATCAGGTCCAGAGGACACATGTGCATTTCTTTTTAAGGACAAAAAGTTGATCTCATGGAAGTAAAAAGTAGAACAGAAGACACTAGAGGCTGGGAGGAGTAGAAGGATAGGTAAGGTAGGGAGACATTTGTTAAAGGATATAAAATTACACTTACATGGAAGGAATAAGTTCTAGTGTTCTGTAGCACTGTAGGATGACTGTAGTTAACCATAATATATTATATTGTTTCAAATAGCTAGAAGGATACTGAATGTTCCCAAACAAAGAAATGATAAGTATTTGAGACAATGGATATGCTAATTACCCTGGCCTGAGTACTGTAGCTTCTATGTATCCAAACATCCCTATGTACGCCATAAATAGGTACAATTATTATATGTCAAATTAAAAAATACTTAAAAAATCAAGAGGGGGATAAAAAAGAATAAGGAAACCTTTCCCAGAAGTCCCCCAGCTGACTTCCTTTCATATTTCTTTGCATTTCTACGCATCTCCATGCCTAAACCTATCCCAGACAAGAGGAATGGAATTGTCATGACTGGCTTAGGCCAGTCAGGATTTAGCTCATCTTTTATGGATGGATACCTGAACAAAAATCAGGGTTCTGTTAGCAAGGAACAGGGGCGAGTTGCAAAGGCAGTCACTGGCCCTCTGAAAATTTACCCATCCTCCAAATCAGAAGGAGCCTCTCCATTCACGGCACCCCATTCATCCCTCTATGACAGCACTCACAGAAGACAGTGTGTTAATGTGTTTGCCCAAGGGCCTGATTTCCTGTTAAGGATTGTGTAACCACAACGCACTCTTCTCTGTTAAACTGAGAGCTCATTGATGGGGTAGGGCACGTCTCATTCATCTTTGAAAACATGGCACCCAGCGTAGTAGTTCCTGGCATATCCAGAGCTCGATAAATATTTGTTAGATTGAATATACATTTGTTCAAGAGCAACTCAATTAATATCTTCTTTCTTCATTTGTTTTTCAAAGACTACACCTGTTGGTCTGGATTGCAGCTGGAATTGGAAGGGAAATGCATTTCCATTGAAGGAAGAAGTATGAGAGTGAGCAGGCAGGTGTCAGCAGAGCTCAAGAGAATAACGTCAAGTGGATGATGACTTACAGGCAGGAGGAGGCAGATCAGCTAGGCAGATGTGCAGAAGTTAAGTGTGGTTTCATGCAGAAACTTCCAAGTGGACTCAAGAGCCAAAGACTTCAAGAAGTTGGTGTAATTGTCACTTGGAATATGTTTGTATTAATTCAGGTAGAATATATTAATAAACAATATTCTTATCAAGAATCTTCCATTTACAGCCCTTATTTTTGCCCTTTCTTTTCTGCCTGGCTGTTTAACTCCTGGATATCTGATTTAGCTACATCTGCAGCTTCTCACTGATATGTTTACGGGGATCAGATGCCTATATTCTGATTGCTTTTCCTGTCTCTGGGAATTAGATGTAATCCATGTACACATTTGCTCTGAGTTAGATCTTAGAAAGCAATGGACCTGGGCCTCATTATCTCAGCTCTCCACAGAAAAGCATCTAACAAATTGTGATTTAATGTTACATCTTCAGCTTTGTGAAGGGAAGCTGACAAAGAAATGTGCTTTTGAAGAACAAACCTGGGTATTTTGCAAAAGCACGGTGGAAGACTTTATCCACCATATTACTCAAAGCCCTTTTCATAGTAACCTGCAGGGCAGAAAAAAATGTTTGTTTCTCCAAATTAACTTTTAATTGACCTATCAATGTCAAGCATATCCCACACCTACTGTCACCGGGGACTCAGGACTGGGTTTTGCCCCAGTGGTAGCATCTAACTGATCCTGGTGCCTGGGGGTATCCATTTATTTGCTCCTTTCAACTGATTTTGATTCTGTTTTTATGATTTAATTTTCTGTTTTATATTGTGGTTAATTTTCTGAGTTGCCTCAAATGTTTATGTTTGCATGTATTTTTTTTCCTACTTATCTATACCCATCTACCTCCCATCTACCCACCCACTTACCTACTTGTGTTCCTGGCTATGTATCTGGTGCATACTCTCTATCAGCCCAGGCTTCTTTAAAGTATCTGCATTTTCTTTTCCTTTTTCTTCTTTGACCAGATCATACCTACCAATAATATGGAGGATTCAGAGAGAGGAGTTCCGGAGACGTGGGTCTGATTCCAGCTTTGCCTCCTGCTAAATATCTAATCCTGGGCAAGTCATGTAGCCTCTGGGTGTTCCAGTCGGGCCACCTTTAAAATGGGAATAATTCTGTCTACTTCACTTATCTCATAGAGCCAGGTGAGGACGTTCACATTTTGGCATATAATGTAATAAGGTTGTAGATGAAGCGTTTATTAGGATAACGTCTTGGCTAACAGGTTGGGCAGACCAGTTGACATCCTCAGGGTATCATTGGAAGAACCCGAAGGTCTTATCCAAGTGTGTTTTCCACCAATAATTCTCACATTTCCACCTTTAGATCTTTTGTTAAGGATCCTGTGGGAAACGTAGATATCATAGGTTATTAACCCCATGAAGTCACATTTCTATTTCAATCTACTTATTTCACATTTTTGTTAAAACTTCTGAAGCAAATGAATTTCTTATCGAATTCATTTTAGACTGCTATTAGCTCAGATTCACTTTGTGAGTTAGAATGCCTCTTAGAAATACAACACCCAGGGAAAAACTTCCGGGTGAGTCTTTCTTTTTTGATAGTACCACATGAGTCCGCAGTTGGCTAATCCCCATGAACATGGACTTCATCTTCTTTAGATGCTTTAGGACATGTGGCTATGCAGTTAGGGAGCTGAGATCTGAGGCAGGGGAGTGTAGGAAAAGTAAGTGATCGTGGGGAGTGGAGTCGGAAGACAGGGTGGGGGAAGGATGGTTCTGGAGCACTTTGTGTTCCGTCCCAGCCCGATGAGGTCCAGGAGAACTTTCTCCAGCCGAGGAGGCCCAGGTGAACTTTCTCCACGTGGGGAGTTGTCGAGAACTTGAGCTTCCAGCATAAACACAGGCTGAACCTGGCTTTGGGGAATGTGGGCCTCCAGCCCATTTACAAAATATCACCCTTTTTGTATGGCTTGGAGGAGACTCAGGAGTGACTTATGAATTCCACGGAGCCCTGATGTAGCCATTGGCAGTTCCCAAGCAGGAAGCCAGTCCCTCCATTTCTTCCCAAAATTCTCCCAACCACATCCCACCTCACCTCCTGGCTGGGACATCTTTTACTATGATCATTTTACTGGTAAGAAAAATGGGGTGCTAGAAAAGTTACCTGACTTTGCTGAAATTCACACACTAGTTAATGGGGGGCCTGGTGCTGGAGCCAATGTTCGGCCTCATAAACCCCTACGAAATGTGCTGAGACTGGCCACTCTTTTCTGCAGGCCGTCCTCAGGGTAGTTCATGTAGCTGATGACCTTGAGAAATGAGGTAATGTCTTCCCTCATCCCCAAAGAGCAGACTTTCTTACTGTTTGCTATAAAAGCAGTGGATTCCCCAAACTCAGTGTTCCTCGGCTGTGACACAAACCCCCTTCATGTGTATATTAATTGATCTGAGCCTGTTGGGTCATTTCTGTGGAACTCAAGGGCAAGGGTAACTGATGAAATATGCTTGTGTTCATCTTGCTTGCTACGTTACCAGTCCTGTATTTCAGATCCAGAAGTCTCATGTCTTCTGCCAGCATCTGTGAAACAGGCTAACACTGTCTTATAAGTTGGGTAAAATAAAATCTAAGACCTGACCCCCAGCTTCCTGAGTCCTGGCTGGAGCTTTCCCATAGTACTCAGCTTATGTAACCCCGTCCAAGAGGAAGAAATGACAGTGGCATCGTTAGATTTGACCCAAGTTTCTTTTTTTCTTTCTTTTTTTTCATACTTTTCTGGGCCCGGGCTGCTGTTACCAGGCCTTTGGTAGATGTGGATAACACGTAGGTGACTGACTTGCTGGTAAGCAGAGATCCCTGGAAACCAGCCCAGGCCAGGCCAGGGCAGGAGCAAAAAGGAAGAGCAAGAGTGGAGAGGGAAAAGGACACTTTGCAAAGACATTTTAATGCCCCGTCACCATCTTACATACCTATCACGTCACGAAAAAAAGGAATAAGGGTGGAGAAAGTGTTTTGCTAAAGGCATCTGTGGCCTGGGGACACAGATCTATGAAATGGGGTAGCATGATGAAGCAGGAGGGAAGGCTGGGCAAGTGGGGAGCGGGGCAGCACCTTGTGAGAGGGGAGGGCCACTGGGAGGGCAGCAATGGGAAAGATGATGCCGTGTGGGCCAGGGTAGAAGAGGGGAACCAGGACAGGACGTCGCTGCAATCTTGCCCTCGTGATATTCAAGTTGCTTTTAACCTGCTGACTGGTTTCTTGCAAGAATCCTAAAGAAATCTTAGACAGTGAAGCGAGATCTAACCATGAGTGAGTGTCATGGCCTTTTCACACTGGACAATCTCCTCCCACATTCGCCCCATAGAGGGGGAGGCCCACTCCAGCCAAGACTTGTCAACCAGAAACCTGAAACCATAGCAGGTGCTTCTTAAAGTAACCTTCCCTTCATTGATGGAAGCAGATAGGCCTCTGTCATACAACTTTTAATTGCTTGTCAAATATTTGACTAAAAGTGAGTAGTTTTCCTTCAGGGAAAGTTAGTACTCTTAAGTCACTAGCAAATGAGAAGTTGGTAAAAAAAAATTGGCCAAAGCACTCTGTGTGTGTACACAGTGGCGAATGGTCAATACATAACAATTTTCTGCACTGCTAGAGATTCTGTTTAATGTTTAATTTAAAAAATGACCACTTATATGAAGTGTCTAAAGCAGTCAAATTCATAGAGACAGAAAATAGAATGATGGTTGCCAGGGGCAGCGGGGAGAGGGAAGGGGTGAGCTGTTGTCTGATGGGTGTAGAGTTTCAGTTTTGTGAGATGAAAAGGTTCCAGAGATCTGTTGCATAACAACGTGAATGTACTTAACACTACTGAACTGTATACTTAAAAATGGTTACAATATTAATTTTATGTTATGTGTATTTTAGTCACACGTAAAAAAATTTTAGAGGAATCCATGTGGAAAGTGAACACAGTATTGATTTTTATAGTTTTAACTTCCCTGACTGATCCAAATTAAAATGTTCATGCTATGGGAAAGGGCAAAAGTTAGAAAGGAAAGAATTTCCCTTTTATTGAATTTTAGTCAACTCCTTAGACAAAGAGTTGGAGATATATATGGATATATATATTTGCTCACACATGTAAATAATTTGTTTCTCTTTTTGTTTTTTTGTTTTTGGGTCTCCCTCTGTTGCCCAGGCTGTAGTGCAATGGTGTGATCTCAGCTCACTGCAAACTCCATCTCCCAGGTTCAATTGATTTTCCTGCCTCAGCCTTCTGAGTGGCTGGGATTACAGATACCTGCCACCACACCTGGCTAATTTTTGTATTTTTAGTAGAGATGGGATTTCACTATGTTGGCCAGACTGGTCTCCAACTCCTGACCTCAGGTTATCTGCCTGCCTCGGCCTCCCAAAGTGCTGGGATTATAGGCATGAGCCACTGTGTTGGGTCATGTAAAGAATTTGAATACACTTCTTCACATTTCAGTAGAGTTCTCTGCTTTTTTTTTTTGTGCAAAAGAAAATAATTTTAATACTTGTTAACTTTGCAGCCATTGTAAAAGATCACTAGTGAAAGATACTTCTAGGTATATATCCAAAAGAATTGAAATCAGTATCCTAAAGAGATAATTGAACACATGTTTTCATAGCAGAATTTTTTACAATAGCCAAAAAGTAGAAGCGATCCAAGTGTCCACTGACAGATGACTGGATCTACTCACACATGGTGAATTACATATTCACACAATGGAATATTATTCAGTCTTAAAAAGAGGGGCAATTCTGACCCATCTACAACATGAACGGACCTCAATGACATTATGCTAAGTGAAATAAGCTGGCTGCAAAGCAAAAGACAAATGCCGGATGATTCCACCCATAAGAGGTATCTAGAGCAGTCAAATTCATAGAAACAGAAAGTAGAAGGGTGATTGCCGGGGCTTCCAGGGGCTGTGCTGGCGGGTGGGAGTTCGTGTTTAATGGATACTGGGTTTTTGTTTTGCAAGATGAAAAGAGTTCTGGAGGTGGATGGTGGCAAGGGTTGCACAGCAATGCGAATGTACTTGATGCCACTGCACTGCCCACTTAAAAATGGTTACATTTTTTGTCATGTGTATGTTACCACAATTAATCCAGGCTGTAAAAATACTGTTAAAGAAAAGAGCGCTAGTTAAGGAAGCAACTCATTACTTTGCCATCTGGGTCATTTATTTTAAGAGCCGCTGGCCAAGCCATGAGCTGGGCTCGCAGGACTGATAAGAGCAGTCTGCATAACTCACTCTGGTGCTCTGCATCCAAAACCAACAGGGCCTAAATCTCATTGAAACCCATAAGTCCTGCCTCGCTCTCACTCTCTTCTTTCTGACACAGAGGTCCTCTTGTCTGGAGCTGGAAAAAGTTGAAACACACAGGACCTGCCCCTGCCCGTTTGGTGTTCTTCCCACATTCTGCAGCATTTGCAGTTCCCTCCATGCATTTCTGTGTGCATGAGGAAGATTTTCCAACATCAAAGTTATTTCTGCCTTTCATCATTAAAGAAAGTCTTTGATTCAACCACAATCATCTCTGAATGAGGTAATTCCTGCAAATGTTTCACTTGTAAGAATTGGCAATTCCTAAGCAAGACCACCGCCATACTGATTAAAGATGTCCACTTGGTTGGCCCTTCCAGCCTCACCAGGGCAAACGTAACTGGAGGCTGGCCTTCTCCCACCCCAGCAAGCCGTGTGGACAGGCGACTGTGTAGTGGGAAAGCTGTGCCATGAGAACGCGTACTTCCTCCACAACCACAGGCTCATGTGTTGTTTTGTAAGCAACATTTCTGCTGAGAAAAAAGCAGCTGGGCACTCAAAACCATAATGGTGGCAAACAAAACTCATATTGCAAGAAGAGCTGTGTTCTGTTCCCCTGATCAGCATTAGCCTGTAGGTATTTAGTTGAATTAAATGAAGGAAATGATGAAATTAATCCATGTTAAAAAGCAATGAATAGTGGATTCATTAATCCAGAGAAGAGGTGGAAGGCTGCATCACAAAAACAAAGCTCGAAGCCAAGGCTCTCGCAGCCACACCCCTGGGGTGGTTAAAACCGCAACTTCTTTGTTAATTCTCAATGAATAATTAACTGGAGGTAGAAGTATTTTTGAGTTTTAGGAGCTCTGTCTCTGTCTCTGCATTGACTGTTGAATCGGAGGCCTCAACAGTTGGTAGTTTTGGTTCATCCCGATTTTAGACCTCTCTTCTGTTCTCACTGCTTCAAGCTCCAAGCTGGCTCAAGCCTTTTCTTCCTCCTGCTGAATCCTAGGGGGAAATTCTAGAATTATCATCATCATCCCCCTTTACAGATAAGAAAGTAGAAAGTTAAACAAGCGATTTTCTCAAAGTCACATACTGAGAAAGAGGTTGGATCCGTGAAGGTGGATTCAGTGGATTAAGTGAATTAAGTGGATGAACAGCCTGGCCCTTACCCTGGCTGTTGGATTGCCTTATGTTACTGGGATATTTGCTGCCCGTTTCTTCTGGCTTCAGTCAACAGGGGCCCTGCCGCTGTCAGCTCCCAGCATGGGAGGCCTTCTGCTGCTCATCCTGAACTCAGAGTCCTGTGGGCACAGTGAGACCTGCCAGGCCATGAAAGCAGAGCAGAGAGCAGAGTGGCCACTGGCCTTGGAGGATCAGAGCGGTGATCTGGATGTGGAGGATCAGAGCGGTGATCTGGATGTGGAGGATCAGAGCGGTGATCTGGATGTGCTGGGATGATGTCCTGGTTGGGTTTTCTAGTCCATTCTGCCTGGAGTATGACAGAATTCCTGCTGGCAAAACCCCAGTCCTCCCCTTGGGCAGGACATTCTGCCATTCCCATGTACGGCACGGTGGGTTCCTGACACATATCTGAGGTTGTTTTAATGGGGATAAAGCTTTTCCTTCCACTGGTTGAAAATGCTGGGGAGAAGTACGTCCACCTTAATGCTAGCCATGCCAAGGTGTGACCGCACCTGTGCAAATCCTTCGGGGAATGAGAGATCGGGTCAGAAGGGAAGAGAAAACCTTGGGTTTGGGTCACAGAGGGAAAAAGAAGACACGGGAGAGGGGTCAGGGTGTTACCCTGTGTCTGTCTCTCAGTTCTGGACAAGCTGGGCTCAAGTACACATGGGCACAGGGACATCAGCTGGGTCATGGGATCTGGGGGAGATTGCCTGCCTCAGGAAAGAGGTGAGACCCTGGCAATGCCTACCACAGGTGTTATTATATAACAGGGTTGGGGGATGGTCTAAGTGGTTTTCCCTCAGTTGAGGTGGGAAGAGAAGTGACTGGGTGTGATTTTATGCCACTGATACACAGAGATGATCCGCGCTCTGGGGCGCTTTAAAGGCAGCATTTTAAGAAGCGTTGTGGGTGACGTCACAGCTAGGAATGGGTCTTGTCCTTCACAGTGAGGTGAGGACTGGCTTTAAGCTCCTCCAGTCTGCCCCACCACATGTGAAATTCTGTGTGCTTGGTGTTGGTGAAAGCAGCGTCCACTCTTGGGACAAGAGCATCCTCATCAGAAGTCCAGGTTCTGGAGCCAGCTCCCAGGGTTTTCATCAGGCCCCGCCACTGGCCAGTTGGGTGGCCTCATGCAAGTTACTAAATCTCTCTAAACAGGGTCAGTGACATGATTTGTGAGGCCCAGCACAAAATGGAAATGTGAGACCCCTTTCCAAACTTTAGGAAGAGGGCATGCAGCCGAGCGCTTGGCACTGTGTTAGTGCCTAGGTTGCTGCCCGTGGAGCTAGCCCGGTCTTAATCTCAAGTGGATTGAAATTGTGTGGACCCAACGCGTTATTACTGAAAAGGAGCTTAGAATGCACATTGGTGTTACTCAGAGGCGGGACACACACGTTCAGAGAAGAGTCCTTTACTGGGGTCAGGCAACTAGGGTTTAGCCCTGCTGTCCCACGATGTATAGGGCTCAGGTAAGTCCCTTCAAGCCTTTAGGGTCTCTGCTTATGGGAAGGACAGGAAAGGCTTCCCTACCTCCCTCAGGGGCAGAGAGAACTCACATTCTCTGATAGGACGAGCAACTCACCCCAGTACAGTCGGACTCCCAGGGTCTCCCTCTCTAAGGAGCAAACCAGGATGGCTGGTCACTGCATTCACTGGGCTTTGGTCAGGCTTTCTCTGGGCAACCTACGCACCTCCTCTCATCTCAATCTGTACCACAGCGCTATGTGTGAGACAGATGGCATCACCCTCCTGTGACAGATGTGAAATCTGAGTTTTGAGAGGCTACCTGTGGCTGGGGTTAGAATTGGGGCTGGACTGCTCTCATCTCCAAAGCCTGTGCTTCGTCTGCATCAGTGATCCTTAAATGTTCACATCAAAAAAATGGAGTGATCCTCAATTTGTTCACATCAAAATTAGCAGGAGAGGTTAGAACCCAGAGGTTCTGATTCAGCAGTTTGGGGAGGGGACCCGAGAACGCGCATCTCTACAGAGTTCCCAGGTGATGCGCATGCTGTGGTGCCTGGACCACACTTTGAGAACCACTCCTCTGGGCCAGCGTCCTCCGTCTCGGAAGCACTCGGAGAGCAGCTGGAGAGCTCTGACAACCAGGACGGGGGTCCACCGCCGAGGCTCTGCTGTGATTGGTCTGGGGCATGGCCTGGGGGGAAGGGTTCTGGAAGTTCTCCTCCCATCATGTAATAATGTCCCGGTACAGCCAGGGCTGGGGCGTCCTGCTCTGTACCTTGCTGTGTCCCAATGTGTGAAGATGAAATGAGGCAGTGGGTGTCAAACGGCTCTGCCACAAATGCAGGTGTTAGTTCTCCTGGCCAGAACGCTGCCGGCGCAGAACCCAAATCAGATAGTGGAGTGCATGCCTGGGCCCTTACAAACGATTAAGACCAAATCAAGGCCAAAGAAAATGAATACCAGATGTCTGGGCGATGCTGAGGCCTTAAAAGTGTTTTTCATGTCTGACTTTGAGAAAAATATTGGCCGGGATCAGATAAGAGGCAACTCCTGAGGCCAGCGGTGCCTTGTCCTAAGGTGCCCGCTGAGCTCAGGAGGTGCCGGCTGCAGGGCCCCAAGAAGGCACAGGCGTCCTCCAGCCCCGGCTTCAGCGGCTGACTGCTTTCCTTCTACTTGGAAAATGCCTGCTCCACGTTAGCCCACTTGTGACGGTGTCGCAGAGCAGCAGCTGTGGAAAGAGGCTTCAGGGGTTCTGGTCCTGCTCACATAGGATGCTTGGCATTTGGCGATGCGGTTGGTGGAGTTAGAAACAAAACCAAAACCCACAAACACAACAAAACACCAAAACAACAATCCATCCCCCCCACAACACCCAGTTAAACTTGAATTTCAGATATGCAATGAAAAAATGTTTGGATAAGTATGTCCTATGCAACACTCGAGATATATTAATACTTATACTAAGAAATTACTGTCCGGTCGTGGTGGCTCACGCCTGTAATCCCAGCACTTTGGAGGCCGAGGCAGGTGGATCACCTGAGGTCAGGAGTTCGAGACCAGCCTGGCGAACACAGTAAAATCCCCATCTCTACTAAAAATACAAAAAATTAGCTGGGCGTGGTGGCGGGCGCCTGTAGTCCCAGTTACTCAGGGGCTAAGGCAGGAGCATCGCTTGAACCCAGGAGGCGGAGGTTGCAGTGAGCTGAGATCACACCATTGTACTCCAGCCTGGGCAACTAGAGCGAAACTCCGCTTAAAAAAAAAAATTACTCGTGGGTTCTCTGCATTCCAATTTTAGTGGGCATCTTGCGTGTTATCTCTACCCCTATTTGGGGAGGGCTTTATTTTCTTCAATGGCGTCCCCACATCAGGGCCTGTGTCTTGCACTCTCCCCCTGAGCGGGTAGCAGAGGTGTTATCACAGAAGGAAGGTTCTGGGGAGTTGAATCACAACAGGCCTCCGCCGCTAGCAGGGCGGGCCGCCAGGGACTAGGCCGCTTGGCAGGTTCGCTTTGCTTCTTTCCATTGCGCTGAACTCAAGGAGGAGAAGGAAAGTGGGAGCTGCTGCACTCACGGCTGAGTGTGCATGGCTGGTAGGTGACAGCCTGAGGTCTGTTCGGTGACCCCGGCCCCTCGGAGGGCCCGCGGAGACTCAGAATTAGCTGCACTTACCACGGTGCCCGCGGGTGGAGGTGCGGATCCACACCCCGGAGGAAGGCCGCTCCCGGGCCGCGAGGACCTCGCTGGCGGCCGCTTGGGGGCAGCAGACGCCCGCCCTGCGGGGGAGTGGGGCCTGCAGGCCGCGGGGCCGCTCTCGGAGCCCGGCAGGCCTGAGCAGGTCGGGGCGCGTGTTCCGGAAGCCCGGCCCCGGGCGCTGTGAGGGGCACCTGGGGACGCTCCGCGAGTCTCTGTCCCAGCCCTGAGCTCAGCGGAAGACTGCAGAGTCCTGGGCCCACGAGGTGGGTCTCCGCTCCGTCCGGACGCGGGCACGCTCCCAGTGTCTCTCTGGAAAAGTGACCTGGACTTCGTGCCGGGGAGAAGGCGCCGAGGCCGGGCCACGCCTGTCCGGGGAAGCCTGAACCGCCGCCCCGGGGTGTGCAGGGTGCGGGTGGGGGTGAAGTTCCTAAAGGTGAGGAGGGGCTCATGCTCGGTCAGATCTGACGGGGGTTAGGAAGGCAAAGAGTTATTTTTAAAACTCAAGAAAAAGAGAAATGAACTGCATTTCCTTTCTGTTTGGCTCCGATTCCGTGCCTGACTCCTCTGTTATGCACAGGGCTGCTCAGCAGACACTGAGGCTGGGTTTTGTTCCGGGGGACTGAGACCAAATATTAGTTTAGCGAGGGTGAGAAACATGCTCTGAGCAACGTTCATTCCCGCGGCAGTAAATCTGTGAGCGCCCGATGTGGGAAAAGCAGGCCCCGAGCCCCGCTGCCCAGGCGAGCCTCTAGGGTTTTCGCCTGTTTATGGACCTGCTGATACTTTTAATGTCGGGAAGCCCGGGGAGGGCCGGGCTGACACCCATGCAGCCTTTCTAACCTCTTGTGGAACTAGGAAAACAGTGTGAGCTTCCAGGAGTGTGTATTTGGGAAGGGACACATAGGCCCCCCCCACATGACAAAATCCGTGTGCATGCTTGTGTGTACTGTTTACATGGAGTGTGTGTGTGCACGTGCATGTGTGGGTTGGTGTGCATTTCTAGACGGCAAGAAATTCTAGTAGAACTTTTGACTTTCATACAATTCTACAGCTATTCTTTTCCATCCGTCCCCTGTAACGATGACTGCAATGGGTCAGATACTCTTGAGCCTTTTCACCAACGATCTTTGCTCCAAATCTTCCCTCAGCTTCTCACTGCCTGCATCCTTCCTTCTGCGATTAGACTAGGATCTCAGTCTATTGCCAGAGGTCTGAGACTCTCCTCAGCCCAGCCGTTGTCAGAGAGACCATGGCGGGAGGGCATCTTAGCCTTCACTCCTTCTACTGCAGGTTTGAAACTCAGGCTGCCTTAAAGGTAAACCAAGATATCACACAGATAATAATAGTACGATAATAAACTCACATTGGTATGGTGAATTAGGATTTACAGTTTCCCTACATTTTTTTTCATTTAATCCCAGAAGCAGAGCAACCAGAACGTGTGTGGTCCTCATGTGTTCCTCCATGAAGACACTGATGGAGAATGAGGTTAGGTAGACAGCTAGAACAATTTTGGCCACCTCATTTTCTCAACTAATTTGAGATTTCTCTTCCAGACTGCTGGTGCCGAGAGATGGGTGGATTGGCAGGTCTTGTTAGCAAGGACAAAGGAAATCGTTATGTTATTGGCTTAGCTGTTATTTAAAATAAAAACATAAACATAATTAAAAACAAGCACTTTTTCCGGGGGCAGTGGCTCATGCCTGTATTCCCAGCACTTTCGGAGGCCGAGACCGAGACAGGCAGATCACTTGACCTCAGGAGTTTGAGACCAGCCTGGCCAACATGGTGAAACCTCATCTCTACTAAAAATACAAAAATTAGCCCAGCGTGGTGGCACATGCCTGTAGTCCCAGCTACTGGAGAGGCTGAGGCAGGAGAATCGCTTGAGCCTGGGAAGCGGAGGTTGCAGTGAGCCAAGATCACGCCACTGTACTCCAGTCTCAGGGAAAGAATGAGGCTGTGGCAAAAAAAAAAAAAAAAAAAAAATTGCCCTTTGGGTATGACTGTGTTTTCTCTACACACATGAACTGTGTCTTTGAAAGGACAACTTCCTTTTCCTGACTGTGCATCATCTGACCAAATTCCAAACTCCCGTAATTTAAGGAAATAATATACTTTGTGGAAAAATTAGAAAATATATATTAGCAAAGAAAGAATAAAGGCAAGCCGCGTGCAGTCCCATTACTCTGAGATGGCCGCTGTTGCTGGCGTGGTGGGCCTCATCCAGACTTTTCTCTATGCAAGCACAAACACACATGCTCAACTCAGTTTATTTTATTTTTCCAAAACGGAAGTCATGCTGTACATAATGTTTCGTAATCAAAAAATTTTTCTTTTTGATATATCATGAACATTTTGCCCATCATGAAATATCCTTTTAAATTGTATGCAATTCCACTGTAAACATGTGGGTTTATTTGACACCTTGATTGTTGGACATTTTATCTTGAATGCTTAGAGTGGAAAAGAATTGTCCCCGGATAGGAAGGTACTCTATCTTTTATTCTGAAGATGTTATTAACACAGATTTCTATGGGATGGCGTAATGGGCCTCTAGAGGGTGGGCCAGGGGTGGCGATGGCCCAGGGGATTCTCAGGGGAGGCTCTTTCCTCAGGAGCCCCAGGAGGCAGCTTTCTCTGCCTCCGTGGCATTTAGATCCATGGAGCATGTTCACCTGAGTGTGACCTACAAGCTTAAGGTATTAATCCATGTTCCTCCCACTTGGATTAATATCCGATGTGAAATTAATAGGGAAGAAAAGATGTTCTGTGCGGCCACTGAGCCTTTCCCAGCGGGAAGATGCAGAAGTTGGAGGAAGAGATAATGTTACCTCCCGCGGGCATTAGCTGCTTGTGGTTGGGAGGCATGCCTTTGATAATCATCATCAGTATCTCTTTCATGTCACTGAACACAAAATGAGGCCGCATCAAAGAGCCCGTTTTAGAGAAGAAATTGTTGAACAGGCTTGACTGGGTTGAACGATACCAGAGGGGCAGGATCAGAGCGCAGGCCGGTCTTCCCGGGCCAGCCAGGGGCACTCACTGGCCTGACTGCAGCTCCAGCAGCTCAGAGGTTGTCACAGTGCACACAGGTGCCTCCCTACTCGACCCTTCCATGTGCCTGGCAGCAAGGGGCATGAGTCACCTGGTGGCCAGGCGTTTGTTACTCTGAGCTTTTGAGCTGCTGCAGAACTCCAGTGACATAGCCTCCCTGATTTTTTTTTCCCTCCTCTCTAATACTGACTTTTTTCTTAATGCCAGCCTGCTAGTAGATACTTGTTCTTCTTCTGACACATTTGGGCATCCAGCAAAAGCTTGGAAAAGAACAGCTTTTTGCTTGCTTGCCTTCAGGAATCTGGTTCAGTGAGCACTCCAGATATGGAAGGGTTTTAGAATGATTCACAGTTTTCTTTGCTGGCCTTCAGGGGAACGTGACCTGCTTAGGTTCAATTTTGTGCATGTGTGACATAGTTTTCCCTTCAGTAATACAGACAAACCCTGATTCTAACCCCCAGTCGAACCCACTGGTCTTTTCCTGATCTTTTTGCATTGCTAGCATTATTTGGTCTTAATGGAGTTAAATTTTTAAAAAATGTTATCACTATGTAAAGTAAAGAAAACTCTTACAAAGAGTTTTGTATGAGAATGAAAACACATGATGTGTTTTAAACATTGGAATCCCAGAAGGAAGAAACAAGGTAGTGTTTTCAGTTATTTCCACTGAAGGAGTTTAAACAGGATAGATAGTCATATTTTAAAATCCTCAACCATTGTTTAGGACCAAGTCAAAAATTTTAAAATAGCTTTTGAATGGAGAAATGCAAGGCTCAAAACCACCAGGTAAAGTTGGAGGAGGATTGCCTCTTCTCCCCGGAATGCTTTTGCTGGTTTTGGTTCTCTTTGGTTAGATCTCACTGGTCCCATTCCTTCTTTCACTTTTAATCGGACTGCATCACCCAGGCAGAAAACTCAGTCCCAGAAAGGATCGGAGTGGTACGGCAAATCTGAGATCGGACGGAGGCAGGAAACCATGGTGACCTCTTAGGATGGAATGAGCTTTAAAGAACAGTGCTGCCACCCTGATCCGGGTACCAGGAGACGGACGGCCCCGTAGGAGTGATGTGCATTGGTGAATCCCGATGCAGACTTTTTTTTTTTTTTTTGAGAGACAGGGACTCACTCTGTCACCCAGGGTGGAATGCAGTGGCGCAATCATAGCTCACTGCAGCCTCTACCTCCTGGGCTCAAGCGATCCTCCTACCTCAGCCTTCCAAGTAGCTGAGACCACAGGCACACACAACCACATCCAGCTAATTTTTAAATTTTTGTAGAGATGGGGTCTCACTATGTTGCCCAGGTTGGTCTTGAACTTGTGGGCTCAAGCGATCCTCTGCCTCAGCCTCCCAAATTGCTGGCATTATAGGCATAAGCCACTGTGCCCAGCGAGCCATACATTTTCTTTATTTGGATGGAAGGGCTGAACTTTTTTTGGAGGTGTGGTGTTGAAGAGTCGTTGGGGGAACAGTGTGGCCAGTACATTGTAGGGTGCTGAGGATGTTGTCTGTTGTGATCCATACCTTGCAGTCAGGAGTAACAAGTATCGAAATTGGGCCACTGTCAAAAGAGTCTATGCTTCAGTCAATATAGGGTGAACAGCCTTACTAAGTAACTAACCCAGTCAAAATTATTACAAGCAAGTTCCAAGTGAGCCAGCTCAGGCCACCTGGCGATGGGAGGACTTTGTTAACCTCTGTGAGGCACACAGCCTGGGCCAGTCCACACATGAATTTGCTTTCCACAGGGCTTCCCAGCTGGCCTGGCACCTCCTCCTCACACTGAGAAGCTCAGGCTCCTCACTGGGCCCAAGCTTTTGGAGTTCAGGCCCTGCGTGGCATCCCTTGTGTCCCTGTGCTTGGTAAAAGGCCTGCATGGTTTTGGGTGAATCCATGAAGTCGGGCCCCAGCAGACTCTGGCAGTGGCGTTCTCTGTTTCCTTCCATCCCTGTGTTGCTCCTTCTCAGATCCATCATCCTCCTCCCACCTAGACATCTGTCTCGAGGGACTGTCCTCGCCCACCTTCTTCTCCTCCTCTCCCTCCTCCTTCTAGTATTTTCTCATCTCAACCCCATGGTTTTGTCCATTTCCTTTTTGCATGCTTGGCCTCAGGTGCCTTGGGGAGCACCCACATTTTAGTTCATCTTTGTACCCAGTGGTGCCCAGCATAGCACCTGGCACACAGCGAGTGCTCAAGACACTTGTTA